ATGGATCGAGCGGCGAGAATTAGGGATTTTCTTAGGGTTTGAGAAATGAAAATGACTAGCGGCGAGAATTAGGGATTTTCCCTCCACTTTAAGACACCCGTTCATATTTTTAACCGATGTGGCACATTAAAAAAAAAAAGAAAAATTAAGAACATAATCCAGGTAAGCAAGCAGGTAAGAGTTACCCTCAGTAGCCGGTGGCAGGACTATTTATCACGTTTTTTGGAACTTACAGGACCTTTTCTAAATCTTGGTCAGTTAAAGGACTAAAACTCAAATCGGTGCCACTTAAAGGACTAAATCTCTAATTTTTCCTTGGGTGTAGCTTCACACCTCACCTGCCTATATACACAGCAACATGTGGAGAGTTTTTGTTCAGTACCATCACCCACCCGAATTTACACACCATATTCATACGATAGATAGGTAATTATAACCATCATAACTATCATCGATCACCCAACAATGACATACTTAACAACTTTACTTGTAACTGCCCTCAATGTTCTAGCTTCGTTATTAATATTAGCTTCCCCAACAAAAACAAAAACAAAAACAATGGAGTTCAACTTCAACACTATGGTAAAGCACGTCGATCACGAAAAACATCTCAGCAAAACCGAGCTCCTGAGGCTGGCTCTCCACCGAAGTAGGAAGAGGCTGTAATGGCTCCAAGAAGTATCCACCACTCATAGAAGAAGCCCCCCCGTTGACGTTGAAGCCCTCACTGGCTATAGTGGCGACGGCGAGTATTTAGCATATCTCTTCATCGGCACTCCGGCGGTACCTATCCCGGTCATAATCGACACGGGCAGCGACCTAACGTGGACCCAATGCGCACTTTGCGATAACTGTTCCGTACAGCCGACTCCCTTATTTGACCCTGCGAAATCCACCTCGTACGTAGCCTTAAAATGCCCAAATAAGAAGTGCAAATTGTACAAGTCTGATGGCTGCAATAAACGTCTGCCTGGCACCACGTGCGCGTACAACCGCACGTACGGAGATGGCAGTAGAAGCCGAGGCGACCTGGCCACCGAAACCTTCTGGTTCGAGGGCGTCCCGGTACCCGGAGTCCTATTCGGCTGCGCATTTCACAGTTACGGTAGTGTAGTGGGTGGAGGCACGGGGATCTTGGGCCTGGGCCGATGGGATGATAGCATCGTCTCCCAACACGACGTGCACGCGTTCTCCTACTGTCTGTCCACGTTCGACTCCAATGGGACCGGCCGTCTCTTTATGGGTTATGGGGCCCGCGCGCCCCCGGGCGCAGCCACCACGCGACTTCTCAGGTACCCAGGCGCTCTCAACAGCGGCTTTTACTATCTCCGTCTCCAGGGTATCACCATCAATGGGGTCCTCATCCCCATCAACTCCTCCTCCTCGTTCAAAGGGAGAAAGGACGGGTCGATGGGTCTGATCATCGACTCGGGAACAACGATCACGCAACTCGAGAGGAGCACGTTC